GGCAAGCATAGGCCTCTGTCTGAAGTGATGGCAAATTTAAGCATCAGACTTATTGAATGCAATTCTATGTGTCAGACTTAATGGTCGCAATTTTAAGTGGCACCGATAAGTAGTCAGACTTAAGCGTCACAGATAGTGGTCGCCAATCCAAAAGTCAGCCTTAGTGGTCGCAGCCTTAAGAAATCTCAAATCAATAAACTTGTGTGTACGAGAACTCTCACAAGAAGTACACACACAACTCACCTAACTCATAACTCACAACTTTACAAGTACTATAACACATAGCCTTCTAAAGCAAACATTCGATTGAAAATTCAATACACCCAGTTAAAATCCCGATGGTACTGTCATAGCATAAACGTTTATTAGAATTTTGACGCAAAAATGATTCATACCCACCATCGTCCTATTGCTTTTTCTAGGTGTAATAAATTACAGTGTATATGGTTATGAAACATGTATTATATAACCGATTGAGGTCTATCTTAATACGAGGCTCACAATTAATGAATTGCAAGTTAAAGTTAATATTTGGAACAGAGCCATCTCTAGAATGCCTCGGCCGACAGTACATCGCAGAATCGCAAGCCCGGCGAGTGAACAGAAGAAGCCTTTCAATGCACATAGCCCGGGTGCAACGCCAGCTTTGCCTTCCAATATCATTTGAGACACCATGATAAATCTATACGGACATAGTTCGTACCTTTATACTTTTCCAGGCTGTGAGATCGCTTTCACTGCGCTATAAGCCATACAAAGACATATACGGATACATACTAAAGAGTATTTCTACCCTGTGTGGTCCAGGGTATCATGCAGCATTTACCAATGGAACGAATCTGAAAGGATACATCCGCATACATACGGGGAACGCTCTTTTACATGTGAAATGCCTGGGTGCAATGGCGCTTTTAGGCTGTCTGTGCACTTACAAACCACATGCTCTCTCGCACGGAGAAAGGCCGTAGTAAGAAATTCGGTTATTGCAGAACATAAATACAAGTGTCTGACTAGCCTTAAGGGCCACGAGCACAACCATCATGCAGTATAGACATGTGTGGTTACTGGCCAGGTCTCTGGAACAAGGGTCTCAGATGCGAAACAAGTTTAGTATCAGAATATTACAAACAACCCAAAATGCTATTGGGATATTCTTGCCAGGTTTGCATCCCATGCAAATCCTCGGCCGACTTTCTGCGGTGACGTTGGCAGTACATCCGCGAAATCAGCCTGAGACTTTACTACGTACCATTATAGCCATGTGTTTACCTCATCATATATCAGATTTAAGGCAGATTCCTGTGTATGGCCTCCAATCCACAACCTACATTTTTAACAGTCAACACATACAGAATCATCATGCGCCGCTTCGGAGTCCACAGAACCACTAGTCAGCACATAGTCCGAAGGTGTCCTTTGTGTGTCCCTTTGTGCGCCACTCCCATCCATATGCGTATGCGCATCCGTACACCCAGTAACACTATCCCCAGACGACTCATGAGCACTAGTGTCGACCTCTGTCGAGCTACAGGTACTAGCTGGTCCTGAAATCAATTTGACGCCATTGCTCTGTGCACGCGAGGCCTCGATATGTTCGGTACTCTGAGATGAATCGGAACTATCGTCCAGGTCCATATATATAGTATTCGCCCCGGCTGGTACCGTACCGTGTGTGGACTGTATCTGACCCGGAGTCTTGGGCTTGCTAACAACAACCTGTGCCGTGATGATTTCTGGTGAACTGTCCTGTACACTCTGTATCTTGCGCTCCATCTCGGTGAAGAACGGGTCGGGAGGTGCCACACAGCCCTTGGTGGCGCTACTGATTAATTGTCCATTACTGCCGACAGGTATGGACGTCCCAACGTCCTTTATAATACCGGCATGGAGCTTAAGAGCGCCAGAGGATGTGGTAGCTACCAGGTACGAAGGTGGTTCTGTGATGAAATTTAGCTGAGAATAAGTATGATTTAATTTCATCATTCGCCACAAAAATTCTAACAAAACACAATTGGCATTGACAGGTAAGGAATCTAATATGGATACAGATGTGATACTTGTATATTCATTGTATATTCATGTGGGCTTGATATATCATTTCAACATAATGTGATTAGTAGGGATACATTTACTTAGTGATACGGAAAGGCAATCAAAGGACCGAGAACATCTTGACTCTCGCGCACACCTCAATGCACCAAATCTGAACACATGGCTCACAAGTACCGTAATTATGCGATACCCTTGATTCTTCACACAACACATTTTCAACATTTTCAACCGTACCACAGCATCTATGCATATTATCACTGTACCTTCGATGATGAATGACTATACAACGATATATA